ACAATTTAAATGTTAAAATAGTTACGTGGAGCTACAATTCTCAGAAGAAAAATGTAGCCATGATATATTTTCAGGTGTAATGAAAAGGACAGCTTAAAAAATATATAGATGGAATGACTCCATTTTTTGTTCAAAAAATATATTTATGAATATGTGTATGCATGCTTTTTCGAATAGATTATGACTGGTTTTATTGTGTTTTGGCATGATCCGTAGTACAAATAAATGGATGATATTCAAATACAACATACTTCCTATATTAGACATGTATTGGGGGAGAAGGGAAGTCTTAAAGAAATGAGATGTTCAGGGGGTGCCTGGGTGGCTCAGTGGGTTAAAGCCTCTGCTTTCGGCTCAGGTCATGATCCCAGGGTCCTGGGATCGAGCCCCGCATCGGGATCTCTGCTCGGCAGGGAGCCTGCTTCCTCCTCTCTCTGCCTGCTTCTCTGCCTACTTGTGATCTCTCTCTGTCAAATAAATAAATAAAATCTTAAAAAAAAAAAAAAAAAGAAATGAGATGTTCAGTAGTATGCTGGTAAATATTTAACAACTGGCCTTCAGGTGGGGCAAGACGCAAGTCCTGTGTAGCATTGCTGATTTCTATGGCATAAATACTCCCAACATTACTCATTTCGGGGTACTGAATATGGAGTAGAAAGAGCTGAACAGTAGCACACCACTATGTAGCATTTCCATGATACAAATACACAGATGTAAATAAACACAACGGTATAGAGAATATTAAAATGTAGTAAAAAATTATAAAGTTTCGTATGTTAGATGAGTTAGATGAATTTTGTGGATTCATCTTTTATAAGTCTTTAGAAGAAAGGTCAACAATACTGATCATGTCTGAGTGGAAGATTTACGAATCATATTTACTTCATTTTTTAGATTCTTATATGTCATTTCAATATTTTTATGGTAAACATGTTATCTTTATAATCAGAAGAATCAAGAGGTTTGTTTTCTTATTCACTAGAAACTAGGAAAGAAAAAAAATCAGAGAACAATTACTTTTAAAAACAAGTCTTACTAGAATAAAAACAAAACACTTCCCCAAAAGGAGTATGATTTCATAATGGTATAATGAAGAACAACCGTGAGCAATGTTCTAAACAATTAAACCACAATATTAATCAATTAACCACTTTGTTAAGTCATAGTATAAGGAAATAAGCCCTTGTATTTCTTTATTTAAAATATTTTATTTATTTGCTTATTTGACAGAGAGAGCAAAGGGAGAGAGGAGAAGCAGACTCCCCACTGAGCAGGGAGGCAGATGCCAGACTCAAGCCCAGGACCGTGGGATCATGACCTGAGCGAAGGCAGCCGCTTAACTGACTGAGCCACCCAGACACCCAAGCACTTAGTATTTCTAAGGCATTTCAAAACATAAATGTGTACCCACAGAATTTCAAAGGAATTCAAGCTCTCAGGAGGTCTGATAGTCCCTTTCTACAAATAATGAAACTTAGTTCCAAGGAGAGTTGTGGTTTTCCCAAAGTAAGCAGTACAGGGCTGGGTATGAGGTAGCTCGCTCCTCTCCATTTATAAATGGTCTCTGTAGCTTGTGAATGAATAAAAGTATACAGTCCTTACTTATGGTTACTTAGATGACCTCACTTTGGGGTTAGTAGTCATTCAACTGGTTAATTTCTGAAGCCCTGACACTTCCTATCTTCATTTAGATAATAGCAGCTTATACTCACCTAAGATTTTGTATTTCTCAAAACACTTGCCCATAGATTATTACAGCTGATCCTCATAAAAGCCCTGTGAGGCAGGTGGAGTAGAAAGGACCACTCCTATTGGACAGATTTGGAAACAGGGTAAAGCAGCAGGTGACTAGCCTAAGGCTAGTGAGAGCGGGGCCGCTGGTCCACTTGAAGCACTGGCTAGGAAACAGTTTGCTCTTTGAGGCTATGAGGAAGTCATCTGGGTGAACCTGCTCTGAAGGTTACTTTCTCCCGTTTTCTTCTTTGTTAAATTTCAAATAAATTCTTTCTTCTCTTGACTCCTGTCTTACTTTGCACTTAAGATTATTACTTTCATATCACCTAGAGTTGCTCTTTAATTCCTCTTTCTTTTGTTCTAGAATGGAAGACAGTCCCAGGCATCTTTAGGCCTGGAAACATTCCTGTTCTTCATTTGACAGGAGGGCTACACTCTAGAATGTTATTTTTTCTTGAAATTTGAAGTGATTTCTATTATTAGAGGAATGTCTTCTGCAAAGGTCCAAATAGTGTGTATTATAAAGCAAGAAACTATAAACACTTTGATGTGACACATTTCTAGACAATTTCTTGGCTTTCTAAAAGGGATTAAAATTTGAGTCAGAGGAGACAGACTTATTCAGGAAATACAAGTCTACAAATTATATATAACAAAACAGATCTTGGGGAATCTAAGATCAGACATTCTCTTAAGCTTTGTTATCTTAAGAGAAAAAGTGTGTTATGTTAACAGTACAATGTCCTGGGGAAGGACTGAAAAAGGGATCACTGGGCTATATTTAGGTCCCGAGACAAAAGAGGTGCCAACTTAATTAATGTGGGGCCTCAGCCCCTGGACTTACTGACTGATGCCACCTTAGACAAATTCCCAGTGCATCAATTTCTTCATCCTTAAAGTGGGAATCATAGCATGTATCTCACAAAGTATAGTAAAAATCAAAATAGCTAACGGCCAAGAAAATACTTGGTAAATGAAAACTCACTGTAAAAATACATGGATTATCTTGAAGCTATCTTGATAATTTTTGTGAGATCTTCACGTTTACAACGCCATGGATGGACCTAGAAGGTATTATGCTAAGTGAAGTCAGACAGAGAAAGACAAATACCATATGACTTCACTCATATGTGGAATCCAAAAAACAAAATAAAACAAGCAAACAAACAAAAACAGGCTCATAAACACAGAGAACAAACTGGTGGTTGCCAGAGAGGAGAGCACTGAGGGAATGGACAAAATAGGTGAAGGAGACAAAGACGTACAAGCTTCCAGTTATAGAGGGATGAAAGGTACAGCACAGGGAATATAGTCAGGAATATTGTAATAACTTATCTGGTGACAGATGGTAACCACACCTATTGTGGTGAGCATTTCATAATGCAGAGAATTGTCAAATCAGTATCCTGTACAACTGAAACTAACATGACCTTGTATGTCAATTGTACTCTATCAAAACCAAACAAATAAAAAGAGATCTTCAGAATTTTGGAAGTTTACAACTCTAGGTGAGGGGGGGCATGGGGAATGGAGTAGTGAGTTACAAAGGGAGAGAGTCAGACACAGCAACAGGCAGGTGGCCAGGTTTCTCCAGGCGGAACAAGATGGAGTGCTCAAGACTGCATACTAATGACCTCACCTCCGCTGAGACTGCTGGCCAAATGACTCTGGGCCAGAAAGCATAGAGCCCCTTTTCCATACCAAAGGACCTCTCCTAACTGGACTTCCAGCTGCCCACAACATGATATGGACACCCTGACGCACTGGGCGGTGCCATTATGAAGATGAAGTCTGAACAAAATCGGCGCACTGCAGTGTGTAGGCTAGGGAAGGAGTCATTTCCCTGGCACTAGGAATGTCTGATAGCAAGTGGATGATTCTTAATGACTATTGAGTGGCAAATTGTCAAAGAGCAGAAATGAGTGTATGGGAAGAGAGTGGGTGTGTTTCCATCTGAAGATGTGAGGGAGGAGCCCCTGCCTTCTGGTGAAGAGCATTCCAGATGAGGGTCAAGTTTTCAACTTAATATAAAGAATAACAGAATATTGACTCTCCAAAGAAAACATTTTGGAGAAACAAGGGTGATAGCCAACAGAGCATTAGAAAGTCATTTCTAGTGATGTTTGTGTAGGACCTAAAGAGAATGGTCATTCAGCAGTCCAATCTGAAAGAAGTAAGGAGATGGTTAAGAAGCCCATATCCATTCGGGTGCTTTCTATTCCCTTAAAATTTTTTCAGCTTTGATAGCACAAGGGATCTACTCTTGAAGGTCCAAAAAATGTTGTTGCTATAGGAACAGGTAAGCAGATTAAACTTGAAAGACCAGTTCAGGAACAAAGAATTTAATAGTCAGGGCTAACACAATTAACCAGGATAAAATTTAAATAAATATCTTTTGGGTTTGTTATTTCATTATTAATTCCAGGAAGATCTCTATTATAGAATGGGAGTATTGCATTTTAATTACACCATTACTGGCATAAAAGACTATACTTACTCAATTAACAGAAAGGCCTTATTAACCAAAAGTACGCATTTCTAACTCTCTCTTGATTGCATTGTAAATGAGAAATACAGCTTTAAATTCAGCAAGAACATAAGAATCATCTCTGACTTTCCTATAGTTCCCCAGAAGAGAGCACATCTAAAATAAAAGAGACCATGAACTACCAAAAGTTGTCTGTAAAAAATCTCCACAACGAGAGACCTATGAGCAAAATTTGAGAAGTAAACATAAAAGTGTATAGGCTGATAATTGCTAATATTTTACGTTTTCCCCAGCCAACATTGTTTGCGAACACAGATATGTGAGAAGAGAGGACAGAGACTCAGCTGCACTCCTACCTTACAGTGGCTATTCTGCTTCTTCCTATCAAGGAATGCACTGCTCCCAACATTAGGGGTTTGCTGAAATTCTTTAAGTTCTGAACAGAACTTGCAGGACTCGTGAGGCTCAAAAAGGCATCATAAATTGGCATTGTGCTTCTCTCCCTTCTTGATAAAATGAATACAATGTGTTCCGCCTAGCAAATTTCTGCTGTTAGAGATTATACTTACAGGACAGAGAGATTTCTTGGACGCTACCTTTTCTCACGTAATACCGGAATCAAATTGCGGAGAAGCATGTCAGTGTGTCTGAGAGTGTGCGTACCTGCGCACACACATGTGATGTGTGTGTGTGTGTGTGTGTGTGTGTGTGTGGCAGGGGACAGCACTGGAGGCTAGGAAATGGGAATGGGAAGAGGGGAGTGTGGCTAGAATCTTACCATCTCATTCTCTTCACCTTCATTGAGCAGAGTGTGCTGGCCCTTCTCAAAGTGGTCCCCCATGAAAAAGTGATTCCACTGCTCCTCCCTGGCCTTCCTGAGCAGGAGCCTCCGGGACCAATTTGCCGAACCACCGCAGCTCTCCAGCCGGCCGAAAGAGTTAATGATCCTCCAGGTTAAGACTCCTTCTTGAACACACACCTACTCTCCGCAAATGACAATACTTAGCAAACTGGACTCCTCCCACGAGTCACCCTCAGCTCTGAGGAATTTCTGCCTTGCTTACTGCATTGTCTCAGAGCAGCTGTCCCAAAACAGGCTGCTCCCATGCCGGTCTTTTTGTGCCCAACTTCCAGGGAAAGAACTCATTGCCTGCCCAGTGCCTGCCAGCATAAGACATCTGACTGCAAATCCAACAGGACAATGGGGAGTTGGCAGGACCTTTCCAAGGAGTGGGGGAGCGGGCTCAAGAACTCCCAGGTCACTGCTTTATTCACAGAGGCTAAGGAATTGGGGGTGGGGAGGGCTAACAGAGCTGCAGATTTTATTTGATTAATGAAAGCCCCAATCCACCAGCTTTTAATAGTATCCTCATTCATTTTGCTTACAAAAGGTACAAGTTAATGACTAATCCTCTTCCAAAGTTATTTGTGGCCACATTTCTTTGCGTATGCAAAAAGCATTCTACTTAATGTGTATGTGGAATTAAGTTCACTTTGGGAAAAACATAGAGAACAGAGGTGTGATCAAACTATTTTATGTGGTCTCCTTTCACTAAAATCTTGGTTGGTTAAACTCTTCACGCGGTCTAGAAACCAAATATTCAAGTGACTTTGTGGCAAGACCCATTTTTTAATTTATCCACACATCCATTCAATACTCACTATCTGAGCACAGGGACAACACATGTAAATCAAGTCCTATCTGCTGCCCTCAGACTGAGACAGGCATTCAAGCATGCAAATAAATACAATAGAAGGCATTTTGTTATTATGAAAGCCGGAACAGAGAAGTCGAAGATATCTGTCAGAAGTCTCAACATGGTATAGGGGTCACCCAGCCACATTGGCTCTGCAGAGAACCTTGGATTCCAGCTCCTATCCATGTTGGTTGAGCTGTGTGTGTGATTATTTCACCTACAGGAGCTGCCTCTTCTCATCCGGTAATCCGGGGCATTGCACGAGGACTTGGGAAAGCATACCTCACAGCACCGATCAAGAGCTGTTGGTGTAATTAAACCAAATGCCCAAGGTAACAGCAGGCAGTAGAGCAGAGTAGTTAGGGGTGTGTGCTCTGAGTTTGGAGAGCCTCGGTTCGAATTTGGACTGTGAACCAAGGTGGGCTAGTTCCGCCATCTTAGGATAATAAGTTTCGTAAGTTTTATAAGCCTCCATTTGCCCACGTAAGTGAGGAACAGTACATGGACAACAGTATTTATTCAATAAAGGAGAATTATTTTTACCTTCGCTATGTCTACTCACTCCTTCAAGCTACAACTCGTGGCACTAGTATCCCAACCTGGAACTAATAGCCCTAACAAGAGCAAGACAAAAGTGTGTGTGTGTGTGTGTGCAAGCACCTTGATCAAATGGTAAAGTATAAGCAAGATAAACATTAATAATATCGAGCTATTATAATATTAATTACTATATATACATGCTGTTCATTGAATTTCCAAAAATTATTAGCACAATTTAATCAAATAAATAAGTGAAATTCACATTTGATCGCAAGATCAACATACAAAAGGCTTTTTTTTTTTTTTTTTTTAGGGGGATGAAAACATTCCAGAAGCACATAGTGGTTGTGGCTGCACAATTTAGCAAATATACCAAAAATCACTGAACTGTATAGTTTTAAAGAGTGAATTTTATGAATGTGAGTTATGTCTTAAGAAAAAATTATACCTCCAAAAATTAAATGAAACTGTTAGAACTCTAGCAGGCAGTCATTCCAATGTTGAGCAAAGAAAGAAACAGAATAAGAAGATTTCAAACTTTATCTCAACTGATGGGGTCGAGGAGTGTTAGTATACAATGTGGTGAAACCATACCTGTGCTGGTGTGTAGTTAAGAGGGTTTCATTCTAGTGTCCATAATTGGTAATCCGCACACTGTAGCTTTCTGGCTGGGTTCCTGGATACCTTTGGCAAGGCAGGCTCCATTGTGGGTGAAGATGAGTGTGTAACTGATTCAGAGTTAAAGGAAAACCCTCACACAAACTTACTTCACTCAAGGAATCTGGTTATGCAATAACAATATTTAAGCCACACTCAAATAGCAAAATCAGTCCCTAAAAAACTTTTGTGAAAACCAGGAAAATCTATGGAAAATCATTTTCCAGCAACATAGCTCAGTAGGACTGAGGACTTTGAAATAGTGACAGTTTCTTCATGTTCCTCGGGGAGTCCTAACAGCAAAACATCCCAGGGCCTCTCTGACAGCAAGACTTATGGGCGGTGCCCTTACAGATTATATGCACATTTATTTGGCATATCTAAAGTGTTCTGCAAGGGATGTTGCCTTTATTTGGCTAGGAAAGCCTTTGTGTTGTGGAAGCATTTGAGAAGGGCCTTGAAAACAGACAGGAAAGGCCTTAACAGGTGGAGATGCTAGAGCGCAGACTGGGAGCGGGGCCTCGGGAAAAAGCATTTGAAGCTGAGAAACCACCAGAAGGATAAACACAGGTTTGTCCAGAGGGAGCCCATTACCTTAGCTCTAACCAGGGTGTGTGTGTGACGGAAAAAAAGGGGAGTGAGATGTGGCAGAAAATACAGATAAAGGCATTCCAGGGAGGTCTGGACTTAATGCAATGAGCAATGACACCAGTGACGGCAAAGTGATGTCATAAACACTCACATTTTTAGTGATCAGCCTGTGTGTAAATATTATAGGAATCATTGCATAAGTGGGTTCTAAAGTGACTCAGTCTTTCTAGATAGCATATCCCTTTGGAGAGTTTCCTTGAACACTGTAAGTTACATCTTTAATTTGCCTGTTGGGAAGTGGGCTTTTTTCATCAAAAACAAATTTAATAGACTATTTTTAGAGCAGTCTTAGGTTCACACCAAAACTGAGCTTCAGATTCCCATATACTTCTTGCCTATATGTACATCTTCCCCTACTACCAGCAACCCCCACCAGTGATACATTTGTTACCGTCAATGAACCACCCTCAACTCAACAGCCGAAGTGCATAGTTGAGGTTAGGGTTTACTCTCGGTGTCAAACATCCTATGAGTTTTGACAGATGTATAATGACATTTGTATCCACCATCACAGTATCATACAGAGTAGTTCCTCTATCCTCAAATTCCCTCCACTCCCTTTATTCATCCTTATGTCTCTCCTAACCCCTAGCGACCACTGATTCTTTTATTACCCCATTTTGCTTTTTCCAGGATATTACAAATTGGAATCATACAGTATGTTGCCTTCTCAGAGAGATTTCTTTCACTTAGTTGTATGCATATAAGTTACCTCCATGTCTCATTCCCTCTCAGAGTTAAATAATATTTCATTGCCTGGATGCACCACAGTTTATTTATCTGTTCACTTCCCAAAGGACCTCTTGGTTGCTTCCAAGTTTTGGCAATTAGAAATAAAGCTGCATATATTCATGTGCAGACTTTGGTGTGGACATATGTTTTCAACACATTTGATAATGTCATCAAGGAAATGCAAATTAAAGCAACAATGAGAATCCACTGCATACCTATTAAAATGGCCAAAATTGAAAGCACTGACAATACCAAATGCTGACAAGGATGTGGAGTAACAGGAACTCTCCTCATTCTTTGCTGGTGGGAATGCAAAAGCACACAGTCATGATAGAAGACAATTTAGAGGTTTTTTACAAAATTAGACATCTTATCATATGATCCAGCAATCGTGTTCCTTGGGATTTACCCGAAGGGGTGGAAAGTTTCAATCAGGCTGTCTCTCCCCAATTTTGCCTGTTCAATATTTCTGTTCTTCACTACATGTGCCTCACAGGTACGATATGGCATGGTGGGAATAGTGGATGTAGATTTGGTTGGTCTGAATTGGAATCTTGACATTTTGTTGACAGATTCCATTTTCTCATTTATTTAATACTTACTTGATTAACTTCAGTGTGCCAAGACTTGTAGTAGGTAAAAATAGAGATTAGTACAATATGCCTTTGAAAATTTAAGTCTACTAGAAAGAAACACCAACATCAAAATATACATTCCAAAACATGTGCTAACCGTATAGGAGTGTCAGAGGGAGTTCAGGTAGAGAGTGAGGCCGGGAAGGTTCCATGGAGGTAGGGAGCTCTGTGCCGGCCTAGGTAAATGGAGATGAATAGGGAAAACATTATTGAAAAAGGAGACAGAGGGCAAAGGCACAGAGGAGGATTTGCCCATGAGCTCATTCAGAGATTGTGAATCATGCACAGATGTTGATGACTTAGAATTGAGAGAAATGTCCAAAGAAAAGTTGCTTCATCCATTCCCTGATTCTCTCTCTGCACTCATTTCCTCTAAACCAAGCCATCTCAAATGAGAATGAAAAAGGAAAGCAAGAAGAAAAGAAATAATTAGCTACCTCTTTGTTGATCTGGTATCTCCGCTTGCTTTCATTTATCCTAGGAGCAAGCCTGCTGCTCTGAGCAATTCTCAACCTCTTTGGATGTATATAATAGATATTAAGTGGAAATAATGGCAGTACCAGACTCTGCCAGGACTGTGGGGATGCTGATACTTCACTAGCTAACCCATTTAGATAGTGTGAAGATAAGCGGTAATAATGTTTCATCATATATTAATTTCCACTTTCATCTGAGAACTCCACAGCATATTACAAGCATTATTCCTTGCAACATCTCTGTGAAGTACAGAGATGAGTAATATCATTGCCCCCACTTGAGAGCGGTAAGAACTGAGTCACAAAGGGGTCACAGAGAACTGATCAAGGTCATGTGTCCTCGGCATGGAGTGGAACCTGAAACACATGTAATGTTGATGCCTTCTCATCACTGGCAATGAGCTGCCTCAAGCTTTCTCTTTGGTCCTCATTACCCAAATCTGCTCTTTGTAGAGTACTTGAGATCTTTAGTTATAGAACTTTAGGTTTCTATTATTTAGGTTTTACTGTTATTATGCGTTGTCCTAATCTGCACTAATGCTTAATGTGTGGATGATACTGGAGCAAGCAAAGATGTGATGTCCCAAAGAGGAATTACCTACCTCAAGGTGGTGAGGTGAAGTTTAATTGAATTAATTAATGTTTATAAAACATTTAGCAACCCTTAGATTAAAGGGTCTAATACAAAGATACAGGGCTTC